GACACATTTTCTTATTTTTACTTATTTTCCTTGTAATTTTTGATAAATTTTTGCAAATATTGATAAATTTCTTTGATATTTGACTAATTTTAATGCCGGCGAATATATTTTGCATTAGTATAACACTAATCAATATAATTTACATGGTTAATTACTTTATGGCATTATATTTAACCAACAAACTTTGAAAAAGCCAAATCAAATGATTTTGTCCATCATTTGGTTGACAGACGGGCATTTCCAAATTGCCTAAAAATAGTGCTGGACAATTGGAATATTGTCAAATATTCATGCATTAATCCAATAATGCCTAGATTTGAGTTTTTTCCTCAAAATATAATCGTTTAAAAATTTTCTGGGATTTTATTTACAAATTTTTAAACGTTAAAATTAGAATTTTTAGATTTTATTTTAAAAGAAACCATAATTAGTTTTCGCAATCAACCTAAAATTACCGGAAAAATCTTTATCTGAGAAAAAAATTGTTAAAAATCAACTTATTGTTGGCTTAAAGAAGGGTCGAACCTACAATAAAATTCTTCTAATTGTCAATGGTTTATTGAAGGTGTTTTAAGCTATTTCATGTTTATAAATACGATTTTCCTGAATTTTGCCTAAAATTGTTTAATAAACCTAAAATAAGTTTTTATAAATACAGCCGTTAATCTTTAAAAGTTAAAACATCAAAATAAATTATAAACAGATTCAAATTTATAAACATTTTTTGTTTAATTTAAATTCGCTTTGATTTATTTGTCAGCTGTTTTTGAAATGTTTCCCTTACAGCCAATTCACCTTCAAGTGCAGGCACAATGTCAAACTACATATAAAAAAAATATAACCAATTCGCTTGGTATTCTGAATTCGCCGATGACACTACCTTATAAAATTAATATACCTTGCTTTGGACACTACGTTATAAAATTAATATACCTTGCACTTTTCAGTCGTCGTGTTCAGTTCGGTTGAGTTGAAAAAACTTAACATGGCCGCTGCTTGTTTGTATGGCTGCTGAAGAAAAACAAAATCACTTGCTAGTTATCAAGATATATTAATTATAAGGTAGTGTTATCAGAACAGCTGATCGTTTTTTGCTATTATGTTAATTTTTCTCCGTGGTGTATAATTAATGTCAAACTTTGCTTACATTTTGTAAATGTCAAACTTTTTTCTCATTTTGTTAATGTCAAACTGGATTCATTTTGTGTTTTTAATCTTTTAAATTTTAAACATCAAAATAAATTATAAATAGATTCAAATTTATAAACATTTTTTGTTTAATATAAATTCGCTTTGATTTATTTGTCAGCTGTTTTTGAAAATTTTCCCTTACAGCAGCATGTGCGCACAGTTGACTGTATTCAATTAGTTTATGATTAAAAATTTTAACAAGTTTGCAAAGGGGTAAAGAAGAATGGGAAGTAGCAAAGGACACACGAATCCACGGTATACTTAACATGTCACCTTGTATTCAGTACACCATGCACGAATCCAGTGTACACTTAATAAGGTAGCCTCGTCGCTACAAAAAATACGACATTACAAAAACAACAGGCGATTTGTTACTGTGAAATAATCCCATCTGTCAAACAATAAAAATTGTTACGTGTCCCTTGGGAGCACTAGGTTGAATCCTGGCCGACTAACTTTACGCATGACACACTCAGAGGTGGTCTCTCCCTTCAACCTAGCATCGGGACAGTACCAATGGATATTTATACAACCTGACGATTTTTTTTCTTCTTGCGAGACACGCAAGAATTTTATAAATAAATTAAACTTAAAACTAATAGACGATACTGAATAATCTTAACCCTAACTTCTGATATGTATCTTCTGTTCTATAGTTAAATATTATAAAAAGCAAGTGCAATAATTGTAATTTCGAGATAGAATACGTTGCGTCGAGTATTGAATTGATTGTACTCTTTTTTCTCTTGCTATTATTTTTCTTACTTCAGTATGGTTACCTGTTGTTTTAGGAAAAGAGGTGTAGATTTATCTTTGGAGTACCCTTTTTGAGATTCTTCCCAGGAAGAGTATGGTTTCCGTAAATAGTTGACTCTGGTCCTGCTCCAGATAAAAACCAGTCTCAAGCTGTTTGGTCGAAATATTAATATTAATAAACATTTGACCATAAAAGCTAATAAAATAACCTATACACTATGAAACTTACTTTCTCCAAGCTTAGAATACTATTTTGCAGGAACACTTCTAGATTTCCTTCTCACTTGTTGTTGCAGTAACCTTAAACTTTATTTCTCATCATATACTCCAAATTCTCAAACTCTTGCCAAACTATAGACACACAAAACATATACTGTCAGGAAAATCACACAGCTTTCTTTTTTTTTTTTGTAAACTGATGCGATACCTTTAGGGACAGAAAATAATGATTATTCTTACAATTTAAAACAAAAAAATCAAATACAAGGATTAAGAGTAAAATTTAATTGAATATACGATTTCTTTTATCTAAAGATGGATTATCGGTTAAAACAATGATTTTTATTTTTTAAGTTTTATTTAAAAAACTTAATCTAAATTATTCTTTGAGTTTTATATATTACTCAGAAAATAATAATTTACGTTTTATTTTTTTGTTCAAATCATAACGATTATTTTTGATTTTTATATTTTTCATTAAAAAATAAAAATCAATTTTAAGTTTAATTTTTTTACTTGAAAAATAAAAGTTATTCTTGAGTTTTATTTTATTTTCAAAAATAAAACTCAATATGAAAACATTTTCTTATATAAAATGTTTAGAGAAATGACTTTTTACAATACTACATGTAAATTTTATGCTTTTCCAAAAAAAGGGCAAGTATGAATTTTAACTCTTCACTTCTAAAACGCATAGCTATGATAACTCTTTCACGTATACGGGACACCGGTGTCCAGCGGTTTGGTTTTGTGCGTGAAAGGGATAATATTAATATGTTTAAAATTTTCAATATGGAATATGTGCGTCCAATATAAGTGAAGAAATTTGGGCTTTTGACGTTTAGGTTTTCAGCGGGATACTTTGTGGGAATAAGAGTAGATTAGTGGACAGCAAATGACAAATTTCTCAAAAAGTATAATTTCCCATTAAAATGAGAAATTATACGTAGGTAGTTTGAAAAGAGATTAGATTTGGTATGGTGGCGTCTTCCGCATTTTCGGCAGGTGTCCATAGAAGGACATGCCCTTAAAACATGGCTTTTTGCAAGGCAATTTACACAATACTTGTGTTTGTTCACCACCTTATGTCGCTTACGAGTATCCATCTCCAAAAACTTCTTGCAAGAACGTATCGAGTGGAATCGTCTACAAAGTCGACACTGATATAATTCAGTTCTACGTCTGTGCGTAAGATATGTTGGCTGATTGCGACTTGAACTGTAAAGTAAAGAACAAAAAAAAAAAAGAGACAAAGAAAATTGGAATTAGTTGTTGAATTTTGATTGTAGATGAGTATTGTAAGTTGCGGGTTTGTTAAGATATATAGTGGCAAGTTGCAATTACAAGTTTAAGAGGAATTATTATCATTAAGTAGTGGCAAAAAGCAGAGCTTGACTATAGGACGAGTTATTGTACCAGAGGCAGTTTTGACATCGGCAATTCGAACATTATTGTCTTTGCCAGAGTGGGTTTTTATAATTCTTCCCAATCGCCATGACCATGACGACAACGAGATCGCCGCATTTAAGATTTTTAGAGACATCTTTCCATTTATAACGTTTGTGTAAGGATTTTAAATAGTCTTCCTTCCATCGAATTGCAAATTGTTGGTGAATCGCTTTGAGTCTCTCCCATCGATTAATGAGTCCTACTTTAAGATCGTAAGGTTCAGGGAAACTCATAATAGGAGCACCTCTTAAAAAATGTCCAGGAGTTAAGGCTGACAAGTCGGAAGGGTCCTCTGATAAAGCCGAAATTGGTCTAGAATTTAATATTCCTTCGATCTGAGTTATTATAGTAGTGAATTGCTCATAGTTAAACTTGTATGAACCAGTAACTCGTTTCAAATGGAATTTAAAGCTTTTTACGGCTGCTTCCCATAAGCCGCCCATGTGAGGAGCATGAGGGGGAATAAATATCCATTCAAATCCATGACATATATATTTTTGAGCTATATCGATCGAGGCTGACTTTATGAACGAGCTAAACTCGCGTTGTAACTGTCTATTGGCACCAACAAAATTTCTTCCATTATCAGAATATATCCTGAAGGGAAGTCCCCGCCTCCCAACGAACCGACAGAATGCCGCCCGGAAGGCTGGAGTTGATAAGTCTGAGCACACTTCTAAATGAATGGCTTTTGTGCTGAAGCAAACGAAAACACTGACATAGCCTTTTATTGTAGTAGCATTTCGAAGAGAAGAGCTTTTGAGTTCAAAAGGACCGGCGAAGTCGACACCAGTCGTTTGAAATGGGACAGTGAGACTACATCTATCAGAAGGTAAGGGTGCCATAATTTGAGAACATGACTTTTGTTTATAGATTATACATGTTTTACAGTGCAGAATAATCTTTTTGATACGAGCTTTTAATCGTGAAATGTAGAACTCATTTTGTACCATTCTACACATCTGATTGCAATCTGCATGAACAAGAAATATGTGCAAATGTTCTAAATAAAGTTGACAAATTCTTGCGTTTCCTGGTAATATTATTGGAAAACGTTCATTATATGGTAGTGATGCATTTGCGAGTCTTCCATTAACCCTTAACATGTTTTCCGAACAAAAAAATGGGTTTAAAGCTTTTAATGGACTTTTATTAGATATAGGTACATAATTTGAGACATCTTTATATTCTGCTGGATAATGAGATTTCTGAGCTAAAGTGATTAATCTTACTTTTACATATTTGACTTCTTTTTGAGTGAGATGTACTTGGGAATATGTGAATTGTGATCTAAATTTTAAGAGACTATTGTGATAAAATCGGAATACATATGATAAAACTCGGAGAGCTTTGTGATATGTTGAAAAATTATTCATAATATCTACCATTTGTACAGAGGTTTGGAAACATTTAACTCTTTTATCAATTTCCTGAGTTTTTACTGGGGTCTTCTTGGGCCATTCCGATTGTGGCTTTATTAGCCACTGAGGTCCTTGCCACCATAAAATGTTATTAGCAAGTTCATTAGCTTTGCAACCACGAGTACCGAGATCTGCTGGATTATCATGTGTACGAACATGACCCCAAGTAGCGTGGGGTAAGGCGCTATGAATTTGAGCTGACCGGTTTGCGACATACGTCTCCCAAGTGTGTGAAGGCTTGGATAACCAGCCCATTACAATGGATGAATCTGTCCATAAAAATATATCACAATTGGGTAATCTAAAAGATTCTGTGACATATTTTACTAATTTCGAGAGTAATACAGCGCCACAAAGTTCCAATCTTGGTAGACAAATTGGTTGTATAGGTGCTACCTTGCTCTTTGCTACAATTAAGTTTGAAAATACGACTTGGGAGGAGCTTTGACACCGTAAGTAAACCGTTGCGCAATATGCTCCCTTAGATGCATCTGAAAAACCGTGAATCTGAACCACGTCTGCGATATTATATTGGAGCCATCTGGGTATATTTATGCTATCAATATGTGAGAGATCTGTTAAAAGTTTGTTCCATTTATTTAGTATTTCCGGATTAACTTCATCATCCCACTGTAATCCTTCCAACCATAATTCCTGCATTAGCATTTTGGCTCTGATTACTATTGGTGTTATCCAACCAGCTGGGTCGAAAATAGATGCTATACTAGACAAAATTTTTCGTTTCGTGATTTGTTCAGCGTGAGGTATTGGGAAACAAGAGTAACTGAAAGTGTCAGTAAGGGCATTCCATTTAATTCCTAAAGTTTTCATTGAACTAGTTTCATGAAATCGAAGTAAATCGGAATCATATAAATCGTCGCTTGGAATATCCTTGAGAAGTTGGGAATCATTTGCGGTAATCTTTTTTAAGATAAACCCTGCAGATTTGAGAGTTTCTAGGATTTGGGTCTGAGACTTTCTTGCCTCTTCAAGTGTGTGGCCGCCTGACAATATATCATCTACATAAGTTTCATTAAGTAATATTTTAGAAGCTAAGGGATACACGGTTTGAGAGTCTTTTGCAAGTTGGTGGAGGGTTCGAATTGCTAAGAATGGCGCACAGTTTACGCCGAAAGTGACGGTTTTGAGCTGAAAGTCTTTAATAATGTTATCGGAAGAACTTTTAAAAATTATTCTCTGAAAGGGTCTGTCATTTGGGTGAACTAAAATTTAACGATACATTTTCTGTATGTCTCCGCTAAAAACATATCTGTACATACGCCAATTCAGAATTACGGTAATTAAATCTGATTGTAACGTGGGACCAGTATATAAAACATCGTTCAGTGAATGACCAGATTTGGTCTTACGCGATGCATTAAACACTACTCTAACTTTCGTTGATTTATGTTCTGGTCGAATTACTGCGTGATGGGGTAAATAAAAGGAAAAATACTTGCCATCTGACACTACTTCACGATATGAAACTGGCTCCATGAGATCGAGGGTTAAATACTCTTTAAGAACATTATTGTATTCATTTTGGAGCTCAGGAGTCTTGGAAAGAGATTGGTTTATACGCGAATATTGAACTAGTGCTGCGATGCGAGATGAACCGAGAAATGTATGATCAGGAAATTCCTTTTTAAATGGGAGTCTTACAATATATCTACCACTTGCGTTTCTTGTAGTAGTTTGTTTATAGAAGTCTTCGCAGTATTGATCGTCATCTGATATCACGGGATGGGATGATAACTCTTCTTGTTCCCAAAATTTTCTCAATGTATCGTTTAGAGAGGTGTTTTCTGAAGGTTTGACTGTTGTTGTAAAGGTATGCACCGTGCTAGTACGAATAGGGGCACTTAAAACCCAACCAAATATGGTATTATATTAATAAACTGTTCAGAGTCATTACCAAGTATAAGATCTATTGGAGTAGATTGATTGAAATTGGGATCTGCTAGATCTATATTTGAGAGTTGAGTGGAATCAAAGGGTTCAAATGAAAGGGTTGGAATTTGTTTAGTAAGTTTTGGAAGAATAATGCTATTTACAGAAAACTTTAAGTTATAACGTTTTGCAAAAATAGTAATGTTACATTCTTTACTTGCAGATTGTAATTGACCACCAATTCCCACAATTTCAACATATGATTTTTGGTAAGGTAATTGTAGTAAAGATCTGACTCTTTCAAATAAGAAAGTTCTTTGCGAACCAGGGTCTATTAATGCTCTGACAGTGAACAATTGTCCAATGTGTTCTATTTGCACTAGTGCAGTGCGAAGTAATATATTTTCATTATTAGAAGCAAAATTAGCTTGAACTTGACAATTTTGGGATGTACTGGGATTTTGGTTGTGATCCATTTTCTGGTTATTGGTACAATCGTTTATTTTTTGATGTGACGACTTTTCAGTCTCTGTTGTGTTGTTGGTTTGTATAGGTTTGTATGTGTTTTGAGATTTTTGCAAATGAAGCAAAGTGTGATGTCCCGATTTGCAAATAAAACAAGTATTTGTGCTTGCACATTTAGATTTTGTGTGGCCTGAGGATAGACAATTATTACAAATTTTATTTTGAAAGACGTAATCGATCCTCTGTTGTACCGTATATTTTCGGAACTTTCCACAAGTTCTCAGATGATGATCTCCAGCGCAGAGATGGCACGGGCTATTTGGGTTATTTAGTTTTTCTTGTGATGAATAGCACTGAATTTTAGTGTGAGGAACAGCCGGAAGACTAAATCGCTCTTTTGTGGTTTTTATTGATGCTATTCTATCAACAACTTCATAACGGTTTACTAGAAATTCATCCATTTGTGCCCAAGTTGGCATTTCACGTTGAGATTTGAAGGACTGTTCCCAGAGAGCTAACGTATCGTCGGGTAATTTTGTAGAGACTAAATATATAAGGATTGGGTCCCATCCCTCAATTTTCACGTTTAGTGATTTAAGTGTTGTTAAACAGTCAGTAACTGTTGAATGAATTTTCTGTATAGAATGGCTATTTTCAGAATTTGCGACTGGTATAGTAAACAGTACTTTTAATTTATTGTCTATTAAGACACGTTTATTGTCGAATCGAGATTAGAGAGCGTTCCACGCGTGATCGAAATTCTCATCGCATAGAGTATATCTTTTAACAATGGCGCCAGCACTCCCACTTGTTTTCACCCTTAAGTAGAATAATTTTTGGGCCTTTGAAATCTCAACATTTTCTATACATGCTGTAGTGAAAAGGTCACGAAATGCCGGCCATTCTTCGTAACTACCTGAAAACGTATCTATATCACATGGAGGAAGTTTTATAAAAGAAGTTCTTGTTCCTGTGGGAAATACATGTGGGAGAAGACTTGGTCGCGCCATTGCACCTGACATTTCGCATGCTCTTGAGAGTTTTAGTATGTCAACAATATGTGACCTACATGTATAATAAGTTTCAGAGCAAGCATTGAAGTTGGTTTTGGCATTTTCTTTATATTCTTTAGAATTTTCTGATCTTGGGGAAACCATGAGAGATTCATATGATGTTTGCAACTTAAGCCATCTATTTTCGAGATCATTTAACTTGGTTTCTAATACTGAATCAGTTTGATCTTCTATATCAGACTTGCCAAAATTTGTACAAAATGTAATTAGGTGATCGCAATCAAAAAGGAACTTTTCTTGTTTGGCAGAATTACCATTTTCTTCTGAAGTTGCCATTTTTTAGTTTCTATGAGAATCAAGTTTGAATACTATTTGTTTGAAGGAATAAACTGATAGTGGAATATAATCTACTATTGTATTATATATACAACTGGAAATTAAATATTTATAGGATGTGTAGTTCACTATTGTACAAAAATACAATTTTGCAGAAGATATTTATTGAAGAATAAAGAATCAATTTATATATTTAAACACGACTAACCCAGTAGTTAAGTAAACATATCAAACGAAATAGTGTTAGCAAATTTTTTTAAAAAAATGTGGTTTAAAAGGAATCAGATTTTAACGCAATTTTAAGAGAAAAAAATATTATTTCGTCCCAAATATTAGAGACTCTTCTAATAATGTATAATAAAAGAAATTCAAAGTTTTACCTTTTAGTATCTTCGTTTTGTGTAGATTCTTTGATGCATATGAATTTTATTCAACGTTTAGCGATTGCCGGTTTGTTGCGATAGCGGTTTGTTACGATAGCGTTTTGTTACGATAGCGGTTTGTTACGATAGCGGTTTGTTACGATAGCGGTTTGTTGCGATAGCGTTTTGTTATGTTAGCGGTTTATGATTTTAGCGGTTTGTTAGATTTTACCTTTAATACTTTCCTATAAATTTTCCTTTTTATTTTCTGTCTAAAATCATTTGATGAAATTTATTAAAAAAAACTAGCTGGCCCGACAGACGTTGTCCTGTCCAAATTAGAAAAAATGTTTATATTCGATTTGTGATTTTAGATAAATCGAAAAAAGTGAGCGTAAAAGTGGGCGTGGTCAATTATTCTTTCAGTAAAACTTTAAATTTGATTACTACGAACATGTTTTAAAAAATTTAGCCAAATCGGTGCAGCCGTTTTCCGATTTTAGATAAATCGAAAAAAGTGGGCGTGGTAAATTTTTCTTTCAGTAAAAACTTAAATTAGATTACTACGACCATTTAAATAAAAAATTTAGCCAAATCAGTGCAGCCGTTTTCCGATTTTAGATAAATCGAATAAAGTGTGCGTAAAAGTGGGCGTTGTCAATTTTTCTTTCCGTAAAAACCTAAGTTGGACTATGACGAACATTTCAGTAAAAAAATTGTCCAAATCGGTCTAGCCGTTCTCAACTGATGCAATTACCAACGAACGACAATTGATTTTTATTTATATAGAAGAAGAAGATAAGAATAAGAAGAATAAATTATATACCAAAACAACTGGCAACTATAATGCAATAAAAAGATATATAAACGACTGCTATAACATGAAAACTATAAAGGATATTTGCAACCATATCGGAGCCTTAAATTACCGCATTTCTAAACCTGTACCAATAAATATACCGATCTATCCAATTTTTGTAAAAATTAATTATGCCACAAATTATACACCAAAACAAAGTGCAACTGTAATGCTTTGAAATGATGCATAAACGATTGTTCTGGCATGAAAACTGTCAAAGTTATTTGCAACCATATCGGAACCTCAAATCACAGCGTTTTTAAACATAGAACAACAATTCTACCGATCCATGAAATTTACAATTTTTTAGAAGAACACATTTTGCCACAAATGATATACCAAGTTAAAGTACAATCGTAATGCATTAAAATGATGCATAAATGATTGTCATAGCATGAAAACTGTCAAAGTTATTCGCAACCATATCGGAACCTCAAATTACCGTCTTTTTAAACCTGGGAAAATAATTCTACCGATCTATCCAATTGTCCATTTTCTAAAAATACATTATGCAATAAATTATGTACCAAAACAAATAGCAATTTTAATGCTTTAAAATGGTGCATAAATGACTGTCCTAGCACGAAAACTGCCAAAGTTAATTGCAACCATATCGGAACCTCAGATTACAGCGTTTATTAAACATAGAACAATAATTCTACCGATCTATCAAATTGACCAATTTGTAAAAACACACATTATGCAACAAATTATATACCATATTAAAGTGCAATCATAATGCTTTAAAATGATGCATAAATTACTGTCATAGCATGAAAACTGTCAATGTTATTTGCAACCATATCGGAACCTCAAACTACCGCGTTTTTAAAGCTGTGAAAATAATTCTATCGATCTATCCAATTGGCCATTTTCTAAAAATATATTATGGAATAAATTATATACCAAAGCAAATGGCAACTATAATGCAATAAAAAGATATATAAACGACTGTTATAACATGAAAACTATAAAAGTTATTTGCAACCATATCGGAGCCTTAAATTACCGCATTTTTGAACCTGTACCAATAAATATACTGATCTATCCAATTTTTGTAAAAATTCATTATGCCACAAATTATACACCAAAATAAAGTGCAACTGTAATGCTTTAAAAAAAGTGGGCGTGGGCAATTATTCTTTCAGTAAAACTTTAAATTTGATTACTACGAACATGTTTTAAAAAATTTAGCCAAATCGGTGCAGCCGTTTTCCGATTTTAGATAAATCGAAAAAAGTGTGCGTAAAAGTGGGCGTTGTCAATTTTTCTTTCCTTAAAAACCTAAGTTGGACTATGACGAACATTTCAGTAAAAAAATTGTCCTAATCGGTCTAGCCGTTCTCAACTGATGCAATTACCAACGAACGACAATTGATTTTTATTTATATAGACTAGCTGGCCCGACAGACGTTGTCCTGTCCAAATTAGAAAAAATGTTTATGTTCGATTTGTGATTTTAGATAAATCGAAAAAAGTGAGCGTAAAAGTGGGCGTGGTCAATTATTCTTTCAGTAAAACTTTAAATTTGATTACTACGAACATGTTTTAAAAAATTTAGCCAAATCGGTGCAGCCGTTTTCCGATTTTAGATAAATCGAAAAAAGTGGGCGTGGTAAATTTTTCTTTCAGTAAAAACTTAAATTAGATTACTACGACCATTTAAATAAAAAATTTAGCCAAATCGGTGCAGCCGTTTTCCGATTTTAGATAAATCGAATAAAGTGTGCGTAAAAGTGGGCGTTGTCAATTTTTCTTTCCGTAAAAACCTAAGTTGGACTATGACGAACATTTCAGTAAAAAAATTGTCCAAATCGGTCTAGCCGTTCTCAACTGATGCAATTACCAACGAACGACAATTGATTTTTATTTATATAGAAGAAGAAGATAAGAATAAGAAGAATAAATTATATACCAAAACAAATGGCAACTATAATGCAATAAAAAGATATATAAACGACTGCTATAACATGAAAACTATAAAGCCGTTCTCAACTGATGCAATTACCAACGAACGACAATTTATTTTTATTTATATAGATATATTTTTAGAAAATGGCCAATTGGATAGATCGATAGAATTATTTTCACAGCTTTAAAAACGCGGTAGTTTGAGGTTCCGATATGGTTGCAAATAACATTGACAGTTTTCATGCTATGACAGTAATTTATGCATCATTTTAAAGCATTATGATTGCACTTTAATATGGTATATAATTTGTTCCATAATGTGTGTTTTTACAAATTGGTCAATTTGATAGATCGGTAGAATTATTGTTCTATGTTTAATAAACGCTGTAATCTGAGGTTCCGATATGGTTGCAATTAACTTTGGCAGTTTTCGTGCTAGGACAGTCATTTATGCACCATTTTAAAGCATTCAAATTGCTATTTGTTTTGGTACATAATTTATTGCATAATGTATTTTTAGAAAATGGACAATTGGATAGATCGGTAGAATTATTTTCCCAGGTTTAACTTTGACAGTTTTCATGCCAGGACAATCGTTTATGCATCATTTCAAAGCATTACAGTTGCACTTTGTTTTGGTGTATAATTTGTGGCATAATTAATTTTTACAAAAATTGGATAGATCGGTATATTTATTAGTACAGGTTTAGAAATGCGGTAATTTAAGGCTCCGATATGGTTGCAAATATCCTTTATAGTTTTCATGTTATAGCAGTCGTTTATATATCTTTTTATTGCATTATAGTTGCCATTTGTTTTGGTATATAATTTATTATTATCATATATGTATATCCACCATCAGCATCTATCGTATAAATTGAGGACTTTATGGATAAATCCTTTTATTATACTACGGTTAACTAATTTGCTATTTTATATGTAGTAGGAATAATTGTGGACCAATCGACATAGATTTCGGTTCTTAAAAAACTGTTTCAACAGACGGGCGGACATGGCTATATCGTCTTAGAATCTAATAAGAACCTAGAAAAAATATATACTTACAAACGGAATCACAAAATCAATATACCCCTAATATTTTTATACCCATCAAAAAAGATTGGGGTATATTAATTTTGTGATTCCGTTTGTAAGGTAGTAGACCCACCAAATTATATATTCATTCGTGAATCTTGCTTTTTAGAAAAAAATGAATTAGTGTGGCCTCCAGTAGGTTAGTGGTTTGTTATAGTCAGACCTGACGTCGTGCGTTCGATTCCCACCTGAGGCATTGGTTAGGAAGTTCTCAACGGGACCGATGCAGTCCTAGAAGTATTCCTTTGAATTTTATGTAGCATCCTCATTTAAAACTAACTAACTTACTAACATTCATGAATCAGAATTGTTGAAATACATAGAAACTTAATATTTTCTTAGAACAAACAATATAAACTTTGGCACAACAAGGTTAGAAATGTTTATAAATTCATATGCATGACATCAAAATTATCTCATCCTACCAAACTTGGACCAAAATTTAAACCTACCAACCAAACTACCAAAAGTCATTTTAGAGAATTTAAACTACCAATTTTGGTCCAATTGGACCAAAGTGGCAACGCTGAACACAACTACTTCTTTATAATGTTATAATAATATTTTAATCAAAATTTCATTTATATTTGTAAGAATATATTTTCATATTAAGTTTTATTTTTGAAGAAAATAATATAAAACTCAAGAATAACTTTTATTTTTCAAGCAAAAATATAAAACTTAAAAATGATTTTTATTTTTCAATGGAAAAAATAAAACTCAAAAATAATAATTATTTTTGAACAAAAAATAAAAATCAAGAAATAAGTTTT